ACTAGTCAAAATACTTTTTAAAGGTAAACAAAGGAGACGACGAGTGCCACTGGAGCCCACACAAGCTTAGCTTCATGTGGATAGAAGTTACTAACACAACTTAAGCTGCTTTAGAGTTCACATTTGCATCATGCGCGGTCACTGGATATAATGCTGCTGCTGGCACTCAAATTAGGTGGTGTCATCAGTGGCAGCTCACTGGAAAAGGAGGATGGGAAATTTCCTTCATTTAATGACACGAACAAACACTGGTTCCTGCAAACATCAATAAAACGTTGCGTTTTTTTTCCCCCTTCATTGTCGGAAATTGTGAGCGTTATTGCAAAGTTTCTTAAAATATCATGATTTGATTTGAACTGTACTCTGGAGCCAGTTAGCTAACTGACATTCATTATGGTGTTTATTTCTTGTGAACCTGTGGAAAGATATCTGACCTGATGACAACACTGTGAGGTCTGCGTGCTAGGCGGTCCACTTCCTCAATGGAGATTTGATCCACCTTATTGTACACCTGTGAACACACACACACACACACACACACACACACACACACACACACACACACACAAAGTCAAAGTTCAAGAGATTTGCCCAATATCTCAAAATTATTTCCCTTTTGTTATGAGTCAAAAAACAGAAAATCATCTCAAATCTCTCTAAAATGACAAGGAAGCTTCTAAATAAGTCCAAGGCTTTAACTGACTCACATATAGGCAAGGCATGTAAACTCTGTTCCCAACAATGACGTCAATGAACTCGTCTGGTGTGCAATCCTCCCTGAAGAGAACCTCTGCATTAAAGATTTCTGAGGAGCAGAATTAAAGGAATAACCAGACACTTCTGCAGCCTACTCACAAATTACGTCACAGAAATGCTAACTGGGCTAAATGTACATCAAAGAGATCAACGAAGGATACTATATTCATGAAGTATGAGCTGAACGAGCTTCTCCGAGCACTGGGTGAGAGGAACTGTGGAGTTGAAGGAGAGGCCGCCACCTTTCTTGGGCTACAGGGGAAGAAAAAAAAAAGCACATTTGCGCTGAAATTAATGTTTGTTTTCCAGCTTCAAAAATACCAGTGATACATAACGTGGTCATTTGTGGTATATCGTGATGTCTGTAGCTAAAAGCAGAATCGCACATCACAAAGAATCACTTAGAGGAAAACATCAAATCACTGCTTTGTGCATATAGGGTATTATTAGTATAGTTATTCAGACTTTTGCAGAGGAGAGACAGTGGCTATACTGGACAAAGGATGCTGAATATGGAGCTGCAAGGCAGGAGGCAAAGAGGAAAACCTGAGAGGAGACTCAAGTGAAGGAGGACATGTAGAGAATTGGTATGACAGAGGAGGATGCTAAAGACACGGTTAGATGGAGGCAGATGATCTGCTGTGAACTCCAAAAGGACCAGCTGTACAATAATAAAAAGATTATTATAGTTAAAGTATAGTTAGAGTTATTCGGTGTTAATAATATCTCAGTTCAATTAGGTAACTCAAAGATAACTCTGCCGCCCAGGATGTTTGATATTTGCGCCGTCTCAGACAGTCAACTCTATTTATTTAATGTGCACCATGAAAGATTAACTCCAGTAACTCAAACTGGCAGGAATTTAGAACAGATGTATTGATAAAAATATAAATATCTGCAAATGTTTAGTGTATTGATAATGTATTGCAAGAGTCAGGGAAAGAGCAGACTGCTGTGTTGATATTTTGCTAAACCCCTTCAGTAGTTATTGCCACCATCAAATCAACATTTACATATAGAGAACAAACAGCCAAATGGCTGTTTACAATCTCCTTATTTCAGTTATTCCAACTGTGAGACAAAAAAAGACAAATATACACACTGTACCTTGAAATAAATATTGGGTTTTGTTCTGTTGAGTCTGATGCCCACTGACTCCAACTCCTTTTCTAGAAGTGCCCTAAAAACAAACAAAAAAACAAACAAAGAATATGTTTGGATAAGAATTCTAAATAAACACTTGTGTGTCCCTGAAACTCCATCCAAGCTCTCCAAACTCACAAACCTCTGAACATCTCCTTTGGTGGCATCCAACATCATGACGACAACATCTGCTGTCCTGGCAACAGCGATCACCTGTCGACCTCTACCCTTGCCTATAAGAAGTATAAAAGTTAGAGATCAGCTTAACACAACAACTACAAATTAAGGTCCTTTATTCATGATTTTTTTTCACAGTTTTTAGAAGCACTTACTTCCACAGGTATGATTTAGTTTTCCCTTTCCCCACAATATTAAACACAGCAACAAATACATGTAAAATCATATTCATCTGTTTATAAATAATTCTAACCACAACTATAAAAACCACACCCTTATACCTAAATATTAAAGTCTCTGTACACTTTAAATTTAAAGCGAAAAAATATAAAAATATAAATCCTAAGTGTACCTTGAGCAGCACCCTCAATGATTCCCGGCAGATCTAGCAGCTGGATGTTGGCCCCTTTATACTGAGGGAAAACAGAGTAGAAGAGTTTCAAGATACAGCGCTTAACACACTGTATGTGTCAAAATATTTTTAATGTAGATGTGTGTACCTCTATGACACCAGGTATGCAGGTGAGGGTTGTAAACTCATAGGAAGCAGCTTCACTTTCCGTTGATGTCATCAAGCTAAGGAAGGTGGACTGCAGAACACAGCAGAGAATGAAAGTGTCAACGTTAGTCAAAGATGGTGTTTTAGTATGTTACGCAGCCTTTTGACATGTTTGTAGTGTTACAAAGGCAAAGGGAGTCATTCTCTCTCACATGAAACACTGTGTACTCCAGAGTTCTTCTGTTACTTGCTTCAGCCACCAAAATGCGCCAAGCCTTACACGTGAATTATACTTCTGCATCAGATCTATGCCATAAAAGAAACCCCATTCTAACCCTATGCTGCAACCTTCTACATAACCTGATGTTCACCTGCAGGGGCAGCAGGTGACCCTGACACCCTCCTCCAGCTTATCTAAGGAAACACTGAGGCCTTCCCAAGCCAGCTGAAAGATGGGCCTCAGACCTCCTCCCATGCCTGAAACACATCACCTACGTATGGTCCAGGAGGCAACCCAGTCAGATGCCTGAACCATCTGTCCAGAGCTTGTGGCCACAGTGGAGGATCAGAACACGAGCTGGTAAATCAACAGCTTTACTTTCACGATCAGCTCTCTCTTCACCACAACCGACTACCAGTCTGTTATAGTACTGATGCAGCACCAATTAAACTGTCAATCTCTCGCCCCATTATTCCCTTACTTATTAGCAAGACCCTGAAATTCCCACTTGTCCCAGCTTTGGAGTGAGCACTCCACATTTTTCTGGTAGAGAACCATGGCCTTGGACTTGGAAATGCTAATTCTTTTTTCTATCGCCTTGTACTCGGCTGCAAAGCTCCCTAAACAAGCTCGAGGTTGCCGCTCAATGAAGCCAAAGAATATCATCATCCAGCAGAGACGAGATTCTGAGACCACCAACTAGCTATGCCTATGAATTCTGTCCATATAAATCACAAAGACTCCCCTTAACACTAATTTAAACAACAAATAAGAGTTATGGCATGCAACTAAATTTTATTTTGGCCTCAGCTTTGTCATAAGGGCTAAGCAATCAGAACAAACTGGACTGAAGGGTTTTTTAAAGAGACAGGACTTAAAGCTAAGCCCTTCAGAGGGTGACAAGAGGTGTTGCTACAAAGTACAAGCAAACATTAATGCTCAAAATTACCCTTTTTAAAGCCTTTAAAAGTTATTCCAGAAAAAAATCCAAAATAAATTAGGATCCAGCAAATGATCAGAATAAGGCATGCTTCAAGGAAACCTGAACATACTAAAATTTACCCTGCTTTCTCGTGGTAGGATTATGGAAAAATAAAGACATTATTAGAGGAAGACAAGCACAAACTCCTTTATCTTCTACGTCCAGACCAGGAAACACAACCCACCGTCCACCATGTTGACATACCTTACCCACAGAGGGGAAACCGATGAGAGCAACACGGGCATCTCCTGATTTCATGACATCGAACCCCTCCCCTTTGGCCCCTGCTGACTTGGAGGGCTCCAGAAGTTGAGCTCTGTATTTGGCTAGCTTGGCTTTGAGCAAACCCAGATGGTACTCAGTGGCTGGAAGTAAGAGTGAATGGAAAGGGGGATAATGGAGCTGTTAATGCTGCAATTAAAATAACAACAATACAGTTGTTTTTAGATTGTACTTAACATATGCATAAACAAAATGTGGAAATAAGACTAAATATTGATTCGTCTTGAGGTATAATGCAACACTCATAGCTGACAAACACACACAGCTGGGTACAAGTTGGTCCATTGTGGCGCTAACAGTTAGCGCTGCGACTTCTCCCTCTCACCTTTGTTTTTCTGTGTTCGAGAAATTTCTTTCTCTATTTCCGCGATTTTCTCCAGGATTCCCATGGCTGAAGTTCAGACAGGTGTCAACGCTTACACTGTTAAAAAAAAATCAGCAAATTAAAAAAAAAAGAAACGTGTCACTCCAGAGTTGTTAGCTTTGTTAGCCGCCCGGCTAACCGGGCAACTAGTAACACTTTAACAGTTGAGAAACAACAACAAAAACAGCGAGTGAGGATATGATAAAGCAAGCGAGCACCCGAATACAACACGGGTAATGTCAACAGCTTAAATTATTGAAATACTGTAGAAAATTACACTTTAGCAGAGGATACACTCAACAGCATGCACAGTTAACCGACATCACCAACCGGAACACGGTCCGTTCCAGTGAAATGTCCGGGAGGAAACAAGAAAACTCGGGGAAACTTTTACCGCGTGTGTCGATGTCGTTACATCAGTCGGGGAAGTGACCGCTTGTGACCATGACACTGTCGCCACGGTAGAGGAAATATTAAAGAGCAATTACCCGTCCACTAAGAGGCATTTGCATTTTAAACAGCTATACGTCCATGCCTGTCAAGTGTTCAGTTAGCGGTATTAGCTTATACGTAAAGTAAGCATGGCTGCGCCCACGGAACCGAGAGGATCACAGGTGCCCTCTGCGTTTGAAGGATTCCCCTTTCCAATGGCTAGCAGACCACCGGAGGACAGCTCCGGTAAAGAGCAGGAGCAGACCGGGGATGTGAAAAAGAAGCCATGCAGGGCTTGTACGGACTTTAAATCGTGGATAAAGATGCAGAAGAAGCAGGCGACAACTGCTAGTGGTGGTACCGCACAGGTGACACAATGGAGTCAGGCTGGAAACTTGACAAATTACTTCGACGGTGTAAAGTTTATGATGTCGTAACATTGTGATTCACTGTTTTAAGATTTGGTTGTGATGGCAGCCAGCAAACTGGAGAGATATCAATATGTATTTGTGATAACCAAACAACCATAAATCATTCATTCAGACGGGGCAGCAGGCCACTAGTCTCTCTTGAATTCATCAGGTGACTGTCTGTGTTGATCCTGCAGGAGACAAAAGCTGCAGATTCAGAGCCACAAGATCCCCAGTGTCCGCTGGACAGGGAAGAGCTGGGCCGCAGCACTTGGTCCTTTCTGCACACTATGGCCGCGTATTACCCGGATCATCCATCTACCACTCAGCAGCAAGAGATGGGGCAGTTCATCAACATTTTCTCCAAGTTCTTCCCGTGTGATGAATGTGCACAAGACCTCAGGGACAGGTCAGAACCACACGAGTGCTGCCAGATTTAATGTACAGGGCTGAAAGTCACATATCGGCACTTGCGCACATCTTCACACATAAAGGATCTTAGAAATGATTCGGCATATTTTACTCTTTTATTTACCACCCTCACACTTTCAGATGCTTTAGGATGAAATGCCACGATCACCAAACCACATTTCCTCTCCACAGATTGAAAACCAATCAGCCAGACACTAGCAGCCGCCACGCTCTTTCTCAGTGGTTCTGTCGTCTTCACAACAACATCAACGTCAGGTTGGGGAAGCCTGAGTTTGACTGTTCCCGTGTGGATGAGAGGTGGAGAGATGGATGGAAAGATGGCTCCTGTGATTGAGTGATTGTGCTGAGAGAGATTTGAAGACTCGAGTAAACCCCGTCGTCGGTATAAAACACCACTAAACTGAGCTCATGTTTGAGTGTTGGGTTTTTCTGGTTTTGTTTTAATATAGTATATTTAATCTATTAATAAAATTAAAGATTACATAATAGTTTTCCTCAGTGTTTCTTGAGTTCAGATCCTTTCAGTTCAGTTTTATTTGTAAAGCACTGAAACATAAAAACAGTTTTCTGCAATATTATAGAGAGAAACTCAAAACATTAAACTCAAGATTCTGGGTTATATCGTAATCCTCTCTTTGTTGGAAGTGCTTAACCACGTATGACTCTCACTTGACCATTAGAGCAAAGACACCTGTGTATTGGTCCGTTATCACCAACCTTCAGTGCTGTGGAAACTTATCGAGTCATCATTTCTTTATATTTTGCTTCCCAAGAGCCAGATTTTCTTGTAATTTTTCAAAGTGGTCCTAAGCAATAGTTCTCCAGGCTTTCTGAAAGTCTTTCAAAGTTTATCTTTGGACATCCAAAGTAAAGCTGGGAATGTCCTTCAAGAAACCTGGAGAACTATTAATGAAGACTACTCAAAGCAGGGGTGGGGAACTCCAGGCCTCAAGGGTCGGTGTCCTGCAGGTTTTAGATCTCACTCTGGGTTAACACACCTGAATCAAATGATTAGTTCATTACCAGGCCTCTGGAGAACTTCAAGACATGTTGAGGAGGTAATTTAGCCATTTAAATTGTCTGTGTTGGATCAAGGATACATCTAAAACCTTCAGGACACTGGACCTTGAGGCCTGGAGTTCCCCCACCCCTTACCCACAGAAAAGACAAGAAAGCTGCCTAAGAGAGTTCAGACTGTGTTGAAGAATAAAGGCAGTCATAGGAAATATTAACTTTCATTTTGTCTTGTATACTGCATGTTTCAGTATATCACTGCACCTATTTCCCATTTTCCCAGCAAAATATAGAGAAATGAAGAGTCAAGACTTTTGTTAAAGTACTGTAAATTTTGGACCAGTAAAATTTCTAAATTTCTGTCATTTCATTTTTTACTATACACTATGCAGTGTTTTGTCTGCTGGTCTGACAAAGTAATCACTCAACAGAAATCACTAGACTGTGTAAACGTGTGACAGAAATGTGTCTGTTTTCCAGAGGGAATAAAACATGTCTAATCAAAATGATTGCATTTGTGAAAATTTAAGCACAGTGACTCAAAAGACTACATAAAAGCTCTTATTTTGAAGAGTTCTTATATTTGTTTTACTGATCATATAATTTTTTCTCTATTTATGCCATATTCTCCTGCCATATCTTGTCTAGAATTATTTCCTTTATAACCCTAGTGTCATCACACATTCAGTTTATTTCCTCAAACATAGACTATTAAACTACAGAAAACATTAGTGACTTCTAGTGGTGTCAGCCATAAATGCACTTCATTCTATAAATCAACACATCTACTGCTTCAGTGGCCTTTCTCAGAACACTTTACATAAAACAATTCACTGAATATTAAAAATGGTACATTTGTTTTTCTCCAGGTGTAATAATATAATATTTTTTAGTATTCACAATGCACTGGTTGTACAGCCAAGTTGCATTTATTTAATTTATGTAGTATTTATTGAATCACAAACCACGTGTCCTCAGGCAGTGTACATAAATTTACCAGGAATGACTTGTAAACCTGTGCTGGGATTTTTAGTAAGGCTGATAATGTTGATTTTTATGGTTCAGTCATCATTGAGGATTCATGAATGAATAAATATCCCATGATGAGACACTTGTGACTATACTTTCTGTGGTATTTGGCATTCCTGCACTATCATAAGACTTTTCTTTATTTCATATTTCATAATCGCAGAGTGTTTGTGACTGGGGCACGCACAGTCTCACCCACTGTATTGTTTATAGCCTGCTTAGCTGGATGCTAACTTATATGAAACTCCTGGAATAGTTGTAAACCTGTAGATTTAGATGGTGCTCAGGACAACAAAGACATGCTCAGGGTTAGGAGATTTAAGCAAAGTTTACTAGTAATTCAAAACAGTAATTTTATAGAATAAAATCCAGTTCATCCACGTAAAATATCTGAGGTGCCAAAAGCTCCAAAAGCTCACTGATTGCATTACCAACAACCAACCTAACCTTAACCTTTTTAGCAGACAATAAGTGGTAATGTGTGCTTAACTTTTATTTGTTTACATAAAGTTTGGCCAAAGATTTGGGAAAAGTATGGCAACATAAGCTGTCCCACACGGGTATTGTGTACTCTGTTTTTGCCATTATTAATCCCACTAACCTACTGCAAAAGCCCTTTGAGGTCAAACATAAATGTGTATTTCATTAACCTGTTCTATTTTGAACCAACAACATTGGTCCAAGTGGCCTCCATCGTTTTATCCCCGCTCTCACGCTATCCTCCTATAATTGTATTCCATTATCCTGTTTTATTCCTGTGTAACAACATTAAAGTGAGCTCTGGCATAAATGGCCTATCCCGCTCGTCCGTAGCGTGGGCACGTTCTGGCTCCTGCACGTTCTCCACCGAGCGCCCGCGCGCCGTTTGGGAGCGCGCAGGACCCGTCCCTACAGCAGCGAGCAGCAGCGCATCCATCCTGCCGTGGAGCCGGGAGCGTGGAGCCGCGAGGAGCGCACACACAGAGCGACAGAAGATGGACGGAGTGGGATCGTTCGGAGCGGGCCGGTCCGGGTCCACTATCGACCCGATTACCTTCGCCAAGCAGCCCCAGACCATCCTCAGAGTGCTGTCCTGGGTGAGAGCGGGTTTTCACGGTGCTGCCGTGTGTGTGTGTGCGGGGGGTGGGGGTCCTCTCTGTTGTCGTTGCTGCGCGAAACCAGTGACGTGTTTTCCCTGTAAATACAGGCTCGAGAAATCCACTAAAAGCTGATAAGGATGCGGTGTAAATGGAGACATGAAATCAATGTTAATGCTGGGGGTGATTTACAGAAATGTGCTGTACAGGGTGTAACCAGGGCCTGGTGCTTATCTGACACCGTGACCAGTGATTTCACTACAGACGTGTGTGTTTGTGAGGTGTAAACGACCTCTCCTCACCTATTCTCTTTCCCTTTTTTTTCTTTTTCTTTTTACATGCCACCTGCCAGTGTTTAACAAACACTGAGCAGCAGACCGGGTTGTGCTGAAAATAAGAGAGGCACATCCATATTCACTCATCAGCATTCACGTTTCTGGGCAATTGTGCTACTTATTTACGGTCCCATTGACCTACCACTTCTTATTTATCATTTCACCTGTCGTTTACACTGTTAAGTCACAATTTTCAGCTCATGATTTTGCTGATTTACCCCTACACTGCCGTCGCCGTTCGTCATCCCACCTGTGATTGGTCCGCGATCGTCGTTACGCACGGAGGGCCACGAGAAGCTTCGTGCCCTGACGTTTCGTGTAGGCTAAACGCATCACCTCTGGGTGACACAGAGAAGGTCTTCCTCAGTGGTGCCAGGGCCTCAAAAGGAAGCCAGTGGATCGTATGCAATTAATGTCATCATCATCACGTGATTTTAAAGAATTTGACTGGATGCAGAGGTTGCCACGTCGAGTTAATATACGCGCTGTGATGTACTTATGCAGAAAAAGCTGCCTCACTTTATAGCTGTGGCCACTCAAGATGGAGCCTTTTGAACTCTGCTTGATATACGTTAAGGTAGCCCTGTGCTTCCAGCCCCATGTGGTACTTCCCACCACTGCAGTGGCAGTTTACAGAAGACAGTATACCAGGAATCTATTTCAGGAGGAGGGGGAAATGAATTCTAGTCTGTAGTGGGAATCCACAGTAAACAGGCAATTAGGTTAATGCCTTTTCCTCTCGTTTGTTTAAAAAAAAAAGCTATTCGTCAGTTAGAAATCTCACGGCAGGATTTTTTTAATTAAGGAAGAAGCGAATCAAAGTTTAGAGCAGGCAGGTTAAAGGAGAAGCCAACTCTTAAAAAGACATATTGTTTTTAAGCAGCTTTTATTTTTTTTTATCACAACGATTCACTAAAAGCACCCGAGTGTGCGTTTACTCAGATTAAATCCACACATGTGATTAGTTTAAAATGTGGACCTGACATTATTCCTTTGTGTGTCCCCTCCACCTCTGTCATATGACCCACAAGCCCCCCAGTAGGAGTGCATTTTTTCTTTGTGAGTGTGTGTGTCAGTCACATGGCCCTACTCTTCCATGAGTGTTAGTCAGCTGATGAACAGAGGGAAGAAGAAAGGCTGAAAATGAACTTGAGAAATTTAAGTTGGAGTTTATGGTAGTAGGTTTACGTGCAGTTACACACACACTGCCTCGGGACTGTGTGATTCTTTAGGGGAAGCGAAGCATCCACCTCTTCCAGTCGGTCAGAGAGAAAGAGGGGAAATTAGGTTAATGCCTTTTGGTTTGAGTATGCTCAGAGAGATGCTTTTGAGTAGTGTAGCCACAATCCCGCTTCCAGTGAGTCTGCAAGCAGTGTTTGTTTGCTGGATAGACAGAAAACTGAAACAGTATCGCTTTAAATGGTAATCTGTTTTTGTTGTTTTCTTTAATCTAGCTCTTCCTTCCTGTCGCTCACTTTGTTCTGACTCTGACTCCACCCTCTACTTTCCCTTCGAACAACAGATATTTTCCTTGGTGGTCTTCGCCTCCATTGTGAACGAGGGTTATGTCAACATGGGCAGCGAGCGACTCCACTGCATCTTCAATAAGAACACAGACGCGTGCAACTACGGCGTGTTCGTGGGCCTGGTTGGCCTGCTGGCATGCTCCTTCTTCTTCCTGCTTGACTACAAGTTCTCCTCCATCAGCTCTGTTAAAGACAGGAAGAAGGCTGTAATGCTTGAGATCGGCTTCTCAGGTGAGGATGTGACATGTGATGGGAGGTCTTGTTCGCAGACACAAGCAAACAGCGAAGGCACAGAGCATTTCTTCCAGGCTGTCCTGGTGTGTCTGAGTTATGGCAGCTACAGGAAGTGATTCGTTTTTAAAAGGTCTTGCTGTGAGAAGAAATCAAGAAATCAAACAAAATACATCATCACTAGTGCATAATGCCAAACCGCGTAATGGGACTGTGCACTGGATGTTTTTGGAAAATGTACTTTTAATCTAAATGGTTCGGCACTTTTGTGGTTAAA